ATTACATTTATAGCCCGCCCATCTAGTCATACAAACTACTCTGGGCAGGTAACAACATATCATATAACAAGTACATGAAAGAACCACACTGGTTTCCCCAAAAGTAGATAATATTTCCTTTTCTGGTGTTTTCACCCTTTCTTATCCTATCTCCAGCCCTTATATTACACCGTATTTGTCTATCTGCCAGCAAGCATTCAATTAACTCTACATTTTCTCATCTTTTTCACTTATCACTTCAGGAAGATACAAACTGCTCCATAGCGTTCCTGCATTTATGAGTCTTCTTTTCTGGATTCTCAGGATAAATAATGCCAATGGACTGGAGATCCGGAGCACAGGGAGCCAGTCTTTCCTGACAGTAGCCAACGTCACTGAAGAACATTATGGCAACTACACTTGCGTGGCGACCAACAAACTGGGAATCACAAATGCTAGCCTATTTCTTTACAGTAAGTATGAAAGTGAGGAGAAAATATTGCACCCTTGCAGTGATGTAAGGATGGCCCGTGGATATAACAGAGTCTAGTTAAACATGAAGATCACAAATTACAGTTCTAATGTGGAGGCATACAAGGAAGGAATAATCTCCCTCACTGCAGTTAGATGATTCAGAGAACCAGAGTCGCCTTCTGAACAATGTGAAATGAAGGGGACAGGAGAAGACGGAAAAATTGGTTGATCAGCCCTTCTCACAGCTTGTTTTATCCCATCCCACACTGTTCAGGAGGATCTTGAGTCTTCCAGAAAGGCTTTTCAGAGTCGAGTGTGGCAGCTGATTGAACAGAAATGCGGAGCCTTTCTTTTGTGACTCTTCTTAAATGGACTTATATTAGGTCCCAGAGTAGAGTATTTGGTGCAATATAAGGCAGTGTTTTTTTACAAGGCACAAGTGCTATAGCAGACAAATGTATGTTCAGATTTACTACCCAATCAAAAGGCTAATAAAATAAGGTATCTTGGCCTGCCCTTGTTCTTCAAAGAAAATGAAAAAAAAATCACAATACTTATCCATATTGCTAGAATATTAATAACAGAAGGTTTTGTGCTTCACACATACAGTAAAAGTATTTGACTGCTTGGTAGGACATAAGTTTTGGGCAGGAAGAAAGTGAGGGGAGCTGATGTGAAGACAGGAAAGACTTCAGAAAAGAGAAATTTGAGGGAACTGGGGGTCACAAAACAGGAACTGATATGATCTATGTGAAAAGGTTTCAGGAACTCAAAAGGACATTACAAAGTTTCAGAGGCTGTGGGAAGAAATGATACTAGAAATAAAAGAAACATAGAAGCAAGGCACTCAATGCTATAGCTGTACACACTTTCTTACACACAGTTGCCCATAGTAGAACATTCTTAACACAGGATGGAGATACTGGGGTTCTGTGGAGTTACACTTCAAAAGCAATATATTGCAAAAAGACAACATTTCCTTTTTGGTGTAACGTGTGATGTTACTTTCCAAAATTGCTTTTTAAGGTTATTTTAAGATATTCTTAGAGCCATTTGACAGGAATTTCTGTAATTTTAAGCTGTTCCCTTATTAATTATAATTTTTCAAAAAGGTACAGGAAGGAAAAAAAGTAAGAAGAAGCAGGGCAAGTAATATAAGTTAACTTATCCCATATTGTACCAGGTACCTGGGGTAATAGGTTAGTTTTTAAATGTTATAACAAGTAATAGAAATGAGTTACTTATACTAAGTAACTTTCCAAGCTGTGATTCAGACGATTGTTGGAATGTGGTTTCTGGGGCCCTGACTCTCAACCCAGTATTATGTGCAGCCTTGGGAGCAAAATGTCAGGTATAAGGAGATAAGGCTGAAAAATAACCCCACAACAACCACTGAAAAGTAAGTTTTATCTTTAGGAGCAAATTCTTAGCTTTCAACCTACTATATTTTTAAGGGGGAAATGGGTTGAGAAATAAACTGGATTGTTATTTTTAATGTCTGAATTTTATAAACTCTTTTAATGATTTGTTTACTCTCTTAGTTGTTGACAACATTAATTTTGAAAAAGGAAGCAACGTGGTATCCAAACTGAATAGGGTCTTGTTTATAGAATCTTCTAGGTAATTTCATCAAACCTTCAGGTTGTAACGTATAAGGTTTGCTTCAGTCTATAATTTCTCTTGGGCATTATATACAGGATACGGACTATTTTTCTATCAGCCCTTTCTTTTCAAGGTCTTTATTGAATTGAAATACCCCACAAGCCAAACTCAGTTAATAAAAATTATCTGAATGAGCCCACCACATACCATCTCTGAGGATGTCAAAACTTACAGGAGGCAAAACAGCCACCCAGAGTAGACTTCAGTCTAGATGGGTGGGGTATAAATAAACAAACAAACAAACATATAAAGTCAGAAAAGGTTAGGAGATGGATTTATGTTGATAAATAAACAAACAAACAAACAAACACATATAAAGTCAGAAAAGGCTAGGAGATGGATTTATGTTGTTCATACACATAGGTAGACTGGGTGTGATGCATACAGGTTATACAGGAAGCCAATAATAGAGGCCCAAGGAATTAAAAAAGGAAGTCAATGGCAGTCAGTTTTGTTTTTTCTTGCACTTTAGAACAACCTTCCCCATCTTGTGCCCCTGAATGTACAAGACTATAACTCACATCATCGCCAGCTAGCACATGTGGTCAGAACTGAGTTACTAACATATATACATGCAATCTTGTGGTTTTGGTTGGTTGGCTGGTTGTTTGGTTGGTTGAATTTTATTGGCTATTGAGAAGATCCTCCCTCGCCAGTGTACTGGCTATACTGTAAATTTAGAGGGGGTATAATGATAACCAGAATCTCTTGAACAAGAATCTGAAAAGAAACATTCTTGGTGTCAATATAAATATAATATACAGTATGTCAGTATATTATAATCTTAGGACATGAAATACCATGAAGGCCAGTGCATTATTTTACTTGTGATGGCACACAAGGCCCATCAGCTTCAAAATTAGTAAAAGCTAAACTGTTCAAATCTATGGTGCTGCAAGGAGAGTAGAAAGCCCAAGTGCCTTCAGCTTCCCAGAACGCTGCACTAGTATAATGTCTGAAATAGATGTTCCAGATCTCCATAGATGAGGATAGGCACAGGTTTCTGGTGCAGTGACAGCTGAAGCATACTTCCACTGGAGGAGAAATATGTAGTGACAGAACAGTGGGTCTGAAAGGGTCTGAAGGGAAGCAAAAAAGGTAGGCCTAACTTCTTATCCACATCTCTGCCAGCTTGTCCTGTCCAGG